GGAGTTATCTCGGGACGTGATTGATGACTTGGAGAAAGTGGCACCTGTGTTGCTCTGCAAGTTGCGGAAGATCTTCCCACCCGGCTTCTTCCTGGCGATGCAGCATTTGATTTTGCACCTACCATACGAGGCACGAATGGGGGGCCCGTGCAGGCCCGTTGGTGCTATACAATTGAGAGATGTCTAAAGATTCTTCAGAAAAAGTGTAGAAATAAAGCCAAAATTGAGGCTTCTGTGGCAGAGGCATTCATTCTGGAGGAGGTGTCAAACTTCACAATAGCATACTATAAGGATGGCCTTCCCAGCATGCACAATCGTCCCCCTCGTTACAACGCGGACGAGAGTTCATCGAACCTCAGCCTTTTCAAAGGGCAACTCGGAAAGGCAAGCACATCGGGCACCAAGACCTTGCGGCATGATGAGTGGTGCACTATCATGCTGTATGTGTTGTTGAACCTTGACGAAGTGAAGCCTTATGTGCAGTAAGTTCTCAATGAGCTTGTTACATATGCCCTTATCACTATCCTCCATCTATCCAACCCCCTTATCTCTTGTTTTTTCAGGGAATTTCTGAATAAATACTGTAGAGGGAATAGGGCTCCTTCCCCTCAAGAAGAAGATAGTCTTCTCAATGATGGTGTGCCCGATTTCATATCTTGGTTCGATACGAAGGTACCATCCAATTTACCTCGTTCAATCTTTGACATCCCACTTTGCTCCTACGAGCGAGTAATGTAACGATCTATCTGGCCTCACCTTGCAGGCCCGCAAGGATGCGGAAATGGATGCAGAGTTGAAAGAGCTCGCCAAAGGCTTCGCCTACAAGGTCAAGTCATTCACCGTTTATGATGTGAATGGCTATCGCTTTCACACAAGAAACTACGAGCGGAGTCGGCCCAATCGGAAAACCACGAGGACCGGAGTTCGTACGCCCAGCACCAATGAGCGCGACTACTACGGCATAGTAGAAGAAATATACGAGCTCAATTTTGAGTGTCGCAAAGCTCCTAATCCAATCGTATTCAAATGCCATTGGTTCGATCCTAATGTCACGAGAACAGCCCCTGAGATTGGACAAGTCGAAATTCGATAGGATTCTGTCTATCAAGGAGAGGATGTCTATATTGTGGCTCAACAGGCCACGCAAGTTTATTATATCCCATGGGCGTGCCAAAAAGACCCCAATCTTATCGGTTGGTACCTTGTGCAGTTGGTATCGCCGCATGGTAAACTGCCAGTCCCAAACGATGAGGATTACAATTTTTGCCCAAACACACGGGAGTTCTATCAACCAGAGGGGCTAGAAGGGAGGTTTGACATAGACATGTTTTCGCTGATGGGCATGGAAGTAGACAATGACATTGATCAGGACGATGGAGATGAGGACGACGGAGAAGAGGTGCAAAATGCTAAGGACTTACAAATGCTTGAGCGATTACAGTTAGATGATGACAATGATGACAACGATGGAGATGAGCCCGATTTACTCGACAATATTGATAGTGATGACGACACCTATGATCCAGCCACTGCCGATCGTGAAGAATATTTCTAATTCATGTAATACTATATTATTATTATTATTATTATTATTATTATTATTATTATTATTATTATTATTATTATTGCAATTATGTTTCGTTCATTTTGCATCTCTTTATAACTACTTGTAATTTAACTGAGCTAATTGGTTTACTCTTTGAAATTGCAGGCACTCGACAAAATGTCAGGCGGAAGGCAGGCCCGTCGGGGGGTCAACTCCCTCTACATGAGGGAGCGCTCACCACCCCACGCTGAGGAGGACCCCTTGCCAGAGCCGCCGATGAGGAGGACGAGGAGCGGCCGCCCCCGCGGCCGTCCGAGGACAAGGGTGCAGCCGGCTGCCACCCCGTCGGTGGACGAGGACGACCAGGCGGTGGGCCTACACATAGGAGGAGGTGGCACTTCCTTTGACTCGTCGGACCACGGGGAGGCGGCGATAGCGACACCAGGGGATTCCACTTGCACTGCCTCTGGCTCTACCTCGTCGGGAGTCTACTTGCACGGGCCCTCGCAGCTCCCGGCGCGGCCGATCCCACTTCACCGGTGCCCGGTGATTCGACCTAGCGGCGACAAGTAAGTATTATTTCACTACTATTTCATATGACATGTTGAAAATTGAACTGGAGACTAACAATTCTTCTTAATGACTCTTGCAGCAACTGGGAAATTGTGTCCGGAACGGGCCGGCACATCAATGGCACCCTGGGCCTTCTGATTCGGCAACACTACCCTGGCATGGTCACCTACGCCTCGGTGACTTCGCTGCCCTAGACGTGGGACCACTTCTACGCCGACGAGGATAGCGAGTTCGGCACCGTTGCGGCGCGGATCAAGGCCGAGTTTTGGGTGAGTCTTCATCGCACTAAATTGGTCAATACTACGCATTCATTGGTCGTTCTTGAAATAATGAAACGATACATGATGTCTGTATGCAGGACTTCTTTAGGTGCGACGAAGGGTTTGAGGACGGGGCAACGCGAGTGCAGGACAAGGTCTGTAGGTCCCAACTCTTGGACCTGTACCACGAGACGCGGCTCCAGTGCATCATCAACTACAGCGCCGACGTCCTTGGTCAGGTGGTGAGGAAGGCCGATGCCAGGACCAGGAGGCTCACCAAGGAGCAGTACCTCTCGGTAAGTACGAAACATTAATACTGACTCCTTCCATGAAGAATAGGTAGGCTTCATTTCATCTTATGACATATCAATAACTTGATGGCATGCAGCAATGTCCTGATTGGTGCGCCAGGCACCGCCTCTGCTGGGATGCCATTGTGGACAGGTGGCTCTCGGAGGAGTGGGCGGAGAAGCACAACATCTGTCGGGACTGCCACCTGCAGATGGGTGGGGCGCCACACCACAAAGGCAATCGGAGCCTCAGCGCGTACGCCCAAACATAGGTAATCTTCTTTGTGTTTTCATCTTTATTTATTTATTCTAACGCTCAATTCTCATTACTTGTAATCATCTTTGTGTTTTCCTCGCAGTCCCAGGCGCACCAAGGCCAGGAATGCAACGAGTTCATGGCGTACGCCCTGGCACACAAGGGCAAGGCGACGGCCCCGGAAGTCACCTACAACCCGGCGGACGGGCCCGAGGCGTACACCAACGCGAGCGTCCACAACAATCTTAGCGAGTACACCTCGGCGCCATGGGGAGGACTTCGATCTGGCCACCCAGCCCCTGGACATAGACCTCCTGATGAGGCTGGGAGGAGGGAAGCAGCACGACCAGTACTGGATGGCGGACAACACAGTCGACTCCGCCTCTGTTCCCATCCTCGCCGAGATTCGAGCAAGGAGCACGAGCTCCTCCCTCTCCATACGCTCTCGGCAGCAGGGCTCACAGCAGCAGATGGCGGAACTCCAGGTTAGTACTGTTTTATTCGTCGTTCATTACTTTTACACATCTACCTTGCCTTTGCATTGTTTAAACATTGCGGGTGGAATGTTGCAGGCCGACTTATGGAGGTTGGAGGCCCAAAGAAAGCGGCCCAAAGTGAGGCCCATTGGCTGGAGATGGAGGTGCACAAGCCAGAGGGCGGCCGAGGCACAGAGGCTGCAGGACATGTTCAGCTTCATGGCGAGCCTTCAGGCCTTGCCAGGTGTGGTCGTGCCCCAGTCGCTGCTCGCTCCAGTTGTGGCTCCTCCTCCTGTAGGGACTCCGGTGAGTATATATGGTTGTTTATTCCTTTAGCTTGTGCGGCTCTCCTGTAGATACTCATGAATTCGCTTCCTTTAGCCACAGTCGGCGGGTTCGAACCCGACTCCTCAAGGTGGCCCTTCTCCACAGGCCGGGTGGCCAACTGGCCCTCCTCAAGGTGGCAGTTCACACTCCGGGTGAGGAGGCTGGCAGTAGGTACCGTTTATTTGTTTCTTTTCATGTTGCATGGACTTGTGTTAGACTTAGCCTTATGTTGGACTACTACTAGAGACATATATATATATTGTGATGGATATTGTGATGGATGATACGAATGTATGTGATGGATTATGGACAATGGATTTGTATGTGATGTATTATGGATGGTGGATGTGTATGTGATGGATTATGGATGTGTATGTGATGGAATATGGATGTGTATGTGATATATCCTGTGCTGTGTGTTGATATATATGTGATTTCTTTGTTTGTACTGATGGAAAGCAAAATACCAAAAAAATAGCATTTTCCCCCTCTTTGCCAAGTGCCACACTCGGTAAAGAGGGCTTTGCCGAGTGCCGTGACCATGGCACTCGGCAAAGCTGGGAAGCAGAGACCCAATTTCCCAGCTTTGCCGAGTGCCAGAGCCATGGCACTCGGCAAAGATTTAAAAAAACTCTTTGCCGAGTGCAAGAGTATGGCACTCGGCAAAGAATTTTCAAAAAAAAATTCTTTGCCGAGTGCCGCTGAGGTGGCACTCGGCAAAGAGGCCGTCAGAGTTGATGTCGGATTTTTTTTTGTCGAGTGCTGACGTGACACTCGGCAAAGGCTTTACCGAGTGCCCGATATGTGGCACTCGGCAAAGAAACCTTTGCCGACAGGTTCTTTGCCGACTGCTCTTTGCCGAGTGCGGCACTCGGCAAAGCCTTTGCCGAGTGCAATAGGGGCTTTGCCGAGTGCCCTAAGCACTCGGCAAAGAGCCCATCTGCAGTAGTGGTAGTTAAATAAGGTGTGTTTGATTACCCTGTGAAATAGTCGTGATCTGCAATCAATTTGTGTAGCGCAAGCAATATAGCGGGTTTATCCTTCCTTCGAGCACTGACAAAAGATTTGGTATTATGTTGAGTTCCTGTGGCGACAACACTTCCTCTAAATGCCTTGCCAATATCTTTGCCGACTCGCAGTATGTGCCCATCTCCAAGTACTCTTCGGAAAGCCATCTGACTGGTTTAATATCCATGCTCACCACGTATCTGTGGTGGTTCTCCTGCCCTAGCTGTTTCCCTTCCACGTTCATCCTCTGCACCGAGGCCATGGCTATGCCACCATCATACCCCATGGATTGACCCGAATTACGGCAGTCAGCCGCGCCGGCGCCGTCGGCCTGAAACAAATCCCGGTCTTGGCAATGATGCTACCCTTCCGCGGTGCGCTTGCTGAGAGGTGGGCAACCGGACCTTCCGGCCTGCACACCGTGTAGTACATGAATTTCTTCGTGGCCAATGTTTTGGCTATGAAAACGTCAGCACTCGCCAAGTGCGCATGCATCGGTGGGTCTAGGTCATCGATCAGCATGACCAGCTCATATCCCGGAAAGCCAAATCGGGTGTTGATCTGATCCCGAATCGCCAGCACCTCCGCGCTGATGTGGCGCCGGGCGTTGTTGATCTTCACGAGCACCACCTGGCCGCGCAGTTCAGTCTGCGTCTCCAGCAGTTTCTCCATGGCCTGCAGTTTACGGGCCATGTACTTGTTAAGGATTTCCCTGACCTTGGCGCCTGTCTCCGGCAAAGACAACATCTCGCGTAGATGACTCACTTCGCCACTGCTGCCCATAATGATCTTGACGACAACCGTGAGGTCCAAGTATTGGGTTGCAGTGTAGCCGGACACCGGACTGCAGGAGAAGCGCGCGAGGAGGTGATGAGCCGGAAGCTCCTCCCACGCGGCTGGGGCGGGGAGGGTGCCCACGAACACCGCATGGCCGGGGAGGCCACGTGAGTGCTCGAACCGGATGGCGTCCGGGTCCGGGTCCGGGTCGAGAGAGAAATCGAAGCGGTATGGCATGTCGGGGTTGGGCTCCGCATGGCGGTGGCTAACCTTGAAGCGGCGTCCCTTCGGTGGAGACGGCGAGCGCATGTCGCCGCAGCTGGGGAAGGCGAACATTGCTATCTGTGTGGGCTTCCAAGTGGAAGTTGTTGGGGGCAGGAGCGGTGGGCTAGAATACAGATCAAGTATACAGAAATGTCACAATAATCACGCAATGTATACTGAAACATGAGTTATTTCCTTTTTACTATGTCCTAGTCTTGGGACTCCCCGCTTGGATGTGATCACGTAGGACGAATGACAGCCCTCTTTGCTGGCTTCGATTCTTTCCACGCCATGGGCGTTGGTTAAGAGGTAAATGCTTGTCTGTAGCCGCGATCACATCGAATGAAATTAAGGGTTTTTCTATATTTATCAATAGTGCAAGTTTTGGTCGTCCAATGCTACCTTGTATTGCTTTTGGTTATTTCGACTAGTCCATCAACACGTGCTTTGGCACGGGCTAAAATATTAGAATTAGAAAACATAAGCGTTAGTTGTTATTTAATATCTCTAACTAACAGAAATTACTTCTGTGAAATTACACATTTTTCTCCATGTTTATTTTCCAACACAATATAAAGAATAGGTTGTGTACTCTTTATCCAATCGAGATAAAGTTACCAATCACTGATCTATATGTTTTTTCATCCATATTTATAGATTTTTCCTTTGTGGCACTTTTGTGCATCTTATTAAATATGCATTTAGTTGAACGTTGAAAGGGCGTACCGGTGGCCGCACCGCTCGTGGCCGCGCTGATCGTGCCCTGCCATCGCGTGTGGCCTCGATAGCAGCGCCCGCTCGTGCCCCGACGATGACAGCCGCGCTACTCGCGCCCACCAGCCAAGGCCGACAGCCTCGCCCCTCGTACCCCGGCGCACGCAAATCTGGGTTGCTCACGCGGTGGGGCCCACTTCTGTCAGGTGAAGCTAAGATAAGCTACTATTTTCAGCTTTATCACGCCTCAATTAATCCCATGTCGCAGCAGATTTTTAAGGAGCTACACCCATAAAGCACTTTGCTAAAAAGGTGTTTAGCAAAAAAAAAAAGCTTACAACAGCTCGTAAAGTTGTGCCAAACAGGGCCCAAATAGGCGTAGAAATTACGAGTGGTCTCGCATAGGGACTACCCTAACGGAGGGTGTATTTGGTTGAGCTGTGGCTTCTAAAAAAGTAGCTACGAGCTGTGAGTAGTGAGAAAATGGTTGTGGGATGTGGGCTCACTACTACACAAATGATTTTGTGCGACACCCCCCGGAGGCCGCCAAGGCGGGCACCTATTTTTGCCCGTCACGGTAAATGCCACGGTTTACCTAGGCGGGCATTTTTTTATTTACCACGGCGGGCATTTTTGCCCGCCACGGTAAATCGATTTACGGTGGCGGACATCTTAAGATGTCCCCCGCGGAAAATAGGGTATTTACCGTGGCTGACATTTTAGGATGCCCACTACGGTAAATCAATTTATCGTGGCACGGTAAATCGATTCGCTGAAACATATCACCCACATCCCTCGCACCATCGTCGCCGCCTCCCCCACTCTCTCTCTCTCGGCTCCCCGCCTCACCCACTCTCTCTCTCAGCTCTCCGCCTCCCCCACTCTCCCTCTGCCTCCCTCTACTCTCCCTCTACTCTCCCTCGATGCAGGCAGCGGCCTCCTCCAAGGGCGCGCGAGGCCTCCAGATGGCGGATCGAGGGTGCGCGCGGGACGACGGCGACGGCTGTGCCCTCCTCCTCCCCCATGGATCCTCCATGAACGACGACGGCGCGGGGCTAGGGTTTCAAATCCAGTGAGTTCATCTCCCTCTTCCTCTCCATCTCCCTCTTCCTCTCTCCATCTCCCTCACTCCTCCCTCTTCCTCTCTCCAGATCCAGCGACGACGACCTCTTCCTCCACGGATCCGGCGGCGGCGACCTCCTCCCCCACGGATCTGGCGGCTGCACCCTCCTCCTCCGTGGATCTGGCGGTGGAGCGACCGGATCCGGCGGTGGATCTCCACCACGGCCACGACGTCGGGATCCACCACGGCCACGACGCTGGGACCTCCACCACGGCGGGCGAGGACGCGTCGGCGCGGCGGCCTCCCTCCACCACGGCGCGGCGGGATCCGCGAGGAGGCGTCGGCCTGGTCCCCTGCGAGCGACTGGCGAGGTGGTGGCGGCCCTGCAGTGGCGTCGGCGTGTCCAGCCGGCTTCTCCAGAGACGCTGGGGCCCGGCCGGCTGCTCCTCTTCTCCCTCCCCGAGCGGCACGGATCTGTGGCCGTGGGAAGCCCGGATCCGTCGCCGGTGGGCTCGCCAGTGGGCTCGAGAACGGGCTCGCCGGCGGGCTCCTAGTTTTTTTTTGTTTTTTTTTAAATGATTAACCGCAGCGGGCATCCTAACGTGCCCGCTGTGGTAAAAGTATATTTACCGCGACGGGCACGTTACACCGCCCGCCGCGGTAAATCGATTAACCGCGGCGGGCAAGGCCGCCCGTCGCGGTTAAGCCACGATTTACCGTGGCCTCTAGGCCGCGGCGGACGGCTTTACCCGCCGCGGAAAACCGAAAACGTCCGCCTCCAGTAAAGTTTGTGTAGTATTGGCTGTGAGAAAAGCCAAAAGTTGTTTGGTTGAATAGTTGTGGCTTCAAAAAAAAAAACTGATGTCAGCGTCTCTCACTTTCGAGCAGACCCTGCTATTCGTCCTCATGGCCTGCATCTTCTTCCTCTCGCTAGAGCCCGCGCGCTGGCAGCTTGCGCACCTGGAGCCAAGGCTGCGCCCGCTGCCGATGCCGCGTGCCACGGCTGGTTGTAGTGCCCACCGCCGGGGGCGGTACCGCGCCAGCGGTGCGGCTGGGGTTGTGCCCGCCGCTGGGGCCGAGTCCGCAGGAGCCTGTACCGGGGCGGCGCCGGTGTGGAGGCCGGAGCCGGTGCCAGGACGTGCGCTCGCGTGAGACCAAGGAGGAAGACAAGTCAGTCGGTGTCGGAAAAAAAGAACGAACCGGTATCTTTCTTAACTAGTAGCACCTGGGTAAATTTTTTTTAGCTGCCTACCTCTACAACCAGTTAAAACACTACAACCAATTAAACAGGAGAAAGTTGTTTTAAGATTTGTATCAGAGCAAAAGCAGCTTTTTGACTCAAAGCAGCTACTGGTTTTACCCCTTTGCTGGCTTTTTTTGGAAAGCTACAGCAGGTTGAAAAGCCCGTACAAAAGAACTAAAGTAATCGACAACGACCCGGCCAACCGGCCTCTGCTTCGGACAATCCAATTCCAAGGCAAAACGATTTTTTATTTTTTTATTTGTTTTGCATTGGCCTGTTCGTTGGTACCGTCAAAATCTAGGCGTAGCTGCCGATGTCCGAAGTGATGACTCTAGGGGTTAAACCGTTGTTGCCACCACCGTATACGCCGTCCCGGCGCGTTCGTCTTCCTCTTTCCTCAGCTGGGCCACCCAGTGTTCTTTCCTCACCGAGGTAACATCATCCTCTGTGCAAAGAATCGTTTCGTTCCTGTCGTGCGCAGCATTGCTATAGGTTGGTAATAACTAAGTCGTGCGTTTGAAACGGAAGGGGATCAAAAAGGACGGCCGAGTCGGTGGTTATGATGTGTCCAGCTGATTCTTCAGACCAGGTAGCACCGCATGGCGGAACTTCTCCGGTGAAGGTATGTCCGGACAGCCAAGAGCACTTCTCCTCGTCCGCGCCCACCGCTCATCGTCACAGTTTCATCGTGGACTCGGGAGCCACGTTCCACGCCACGAGCGACCTTGGGGTCCTCTCGCTTGATGGCGACAAGCAGTCTGCATGGGACCGCGGAGCCGCCGGCGACTGCGCCGCTATCCACCGGCGCGACGGGACGGTCCTGCCAGTAGCCGGCGTAGGCACCGTGGAGGTCCGTGACAAGAACTTCCGGCTCCCCGGCGTCCGCTACGTCCCCCAGCTGGGCCCCGGGGTCACGCTGGTCTCGGTGCAGCAGCTGGCCGCGTCGGGCTTCCTCGTCATGTTCTGCGGCGCCTTCTGCTACGTCACCGACGTGGATAACGGAGGCAGCATCGTCGGCAAGGGCAGGATGTCCGAGGACGACGACTTCTACCACCTTGACTTCCTCAGGGTGCATGATCAGTACGCCGCGGCCGTGGAGGACGGGAAGATGGGTCGCGCTGCTGCATGTTTCTGTGCTGTGCATCTATGCGATCGGCGTTGACACGTACCAGTGCTGTAATAAACAACCGTAATTACCTTATTGTAGGAACTTGTCGTCTCCTATATGAAATGTTCGAGTTCCCGCACATGTTTAACTTGATACTCCTGAACTTTTGTTGATCATCTTGTCCTGCTGATGTGTCAAATGCCCGTATTCTGCTGCGTTATTCCAATTTCCTTCGAGCTATGAATTAACCAGAGAACACTACTGTTGATGTAAAGATCTCTCACACGTCACTGGAAGCTAGAACGCTCGAATCGCAGTTGGACCCAAAAAATGCTGCGAATAACCAATACTTTTTGCGGTGAAAAGTGGCAAGATTTACAAGAAAACCAGCAAAGGACAGCTATCCGCTGATATACTGGCACCCAGTGTAGCACGGGACGACCCAGGCACTATAGGAAACTAAAAGGTTTCTGTCGGGTTTGCCTGGAACTGACAGAACCAATAGAAAAAATGGTAAAACCAACACAGTAAACATATTTTCCTGTTGGTTTTTCTACAATCCACGGAAAATTTAATTTCAACGAGGCGCAGGACGTGGGCCCGGGCTGCGCTAGCCTTCAAGCCTGCCCAAAGGCACGCTGGATGTGCCCGCGGACACATAAATGTGCAACACCCAAACCCTAGCCCCATCCTCAACCTCACGTAGTCACGCCCTCTCCTCCAGTCCTCATAGCCTCTCTCAGCAGCGACAGCGTGACCCTCTGGCTCGGCACGGATCAGAGCACTGGCACACCCGTCCGATGTGGATCCGAGTGGAAGCGCACCCATCCAGATCGGTGCGGACCGGAGGTGCACACTACTGGAAACTTAAAATTCCCTGACGGTTTCGTATTTTTTTACGGTTATTGCATAAACCGTCAGGGTAAACAGAATTACCATGACGGTTTCGGGAAAACGCACAGGAAAATTGATATTATCTTGACGGTTTATGGAAAACACATAGGGCAATTAAATAACCGTCAGGGAAATTCCTAATTAACTTGTGAGTGCACATTACCGTCAGGGAAATCCTAATTAACCTGTGAGTGCACATAACCGTCAGGGAAATTCCTAATTCCTTGACGGTTTCGTATTTTTTTGACGGTTATTGCAAAAACCATTAGGG